TATATATAGATTAAAAGGCAAAATACTGAAAAACAACAATGCTGTGGGAAACAATGGCTGGATCTCAGTCGAGATACAAAAATGATAAGCAACAGCTAAAAAGTAAATGTAAGTAAACAGCCAGGAATAGAACATTATTACTATTTATACATATGACTTTTAACAGCAAGTATGTACAGAGATAAGCATATTATATGCCTTAATAATAATAATAATAATAATGATAATATGTCGGCATGTCAAAGGACAGAAACATCATTTCCAGCCATTTTTTTTAGCAAACTGTTTCATTAGGCCAAAAAGAAACATGAATGTTCGATTAAATTGACACCACAATTAACTCTCTACCACCAGTGCTTGCGGAGATATTAGGACTAAAGCTATGACATTGAAACATGTCAAAGATTAGAAATGGCATTTCCGCTTATTTTCAGAAACAAAATTATATTAGACCAAATAGAAACATGAATATTCCGAACAAATTGACACCACAATTAACTCTCTACCACCAGTGGTTGCGGCGATATTAGAACCATATTGCTATGACCTTGAAACATGTCAAAGGTCAGAAACAGCATTTCCGATCATTTTTTAGCAAAATCTTCTATTACAGCAAATAGAAACATGAATGTTCCAAACAAATTGGCACCAAAATTAACTCTCTACCACCAGTCGTTGCGGAGATAATCACAACTGAATGGCTATTATATAAAATATGTCAAAGGTCAGAAATGGCATTTCCGGTAATTTTTTAGCAGACTCTTTTATTAGACCAAATAGAAACATGAATGTTTCGAACAAATTGACACTAAAATTAACTCTCTACCGCCAGTGGTTGCGGAAATATAAGGACAATATGCTATGACCTTGAAGCATGTCAAAGGTCAGAAATGGCATTTCCGGTCATTTTGTAGCACAATGTTCCATTAGAGCAAATAGAAATATGCATGTTCCGAACAATTTGGCACCAAATTCAACTCTCTACCATCTGTAGTTGCGTAGATACAAGGACCTTATAGCCATGCTTGGGGCTGAGGTGAGCGAATTTTAAGAATAGGTTCCTCTAGACGCACGAAAGTAACACTCCAGATGGTAAAAATGCTTTTTCAATGCAGTGCTCCTCGACAAAATTATTGACTCAACCCCGACGGGAGCTATGCTCGACCTTCGTTGTACACTCCTCCCCTCACTGGTCTATTCTATACTGAAATTCGCAAAACAAATTATGATTGTGGCACCTCTTTCTCCGGAAATGGCACTCGTTCAGATTTAAAATTTGAATATTTTTTCCATTTATCATTTTTAAAAAATTTTTACAAATGAGAGGGTCCTGGCCTGCAGGGCAACCCACCCCCACTGCATTAATATGATATATGTCAGTCAATGTCAGTGACACATTATGCTGTTATGTATCAAGAAAGTCCTTTTGGATCAGGGTTCTATAGAGCGAGGACCCTACTAGACCCTTATGGGTAGGGACACAATATATTTGGGTGTAATATGACATCATCATACCCATATAAAATAATTGTTTTTTTCAATACCATGGAAGACATGCAGGCGAGGCTGATAAACTTCTTTTTTTTTTTTAATTTAGCCAATCTAGATTCCCGATCTGTGATGGTTCCCCTCCCCTCGGGCCTCCTCTTTTGTGACAATTTTTAGAAACAAATTATAAAGTTTTATGTAGTCCTTATAAATCCTCTCAGGAAAGTTCACCATTTACAGGCTATGCTTTTACTGCACAGCATAAAAGGAGCATTTCTAGTTAATGCTGATGTTGGCGTCATTATTTTTATGGATTACCTTGGAAATTATTTAAATTTGATTTTTATGAAATGAAATCTGTCCACACTATCAAATTTTATGTGACAAAAAAATGAGATTTGGGTGCAATATGACATCATCATACCCATATATAGGCATATCACATAAATTTGTCACATACAATTTAATAGTGTGGATGTGCTTTACTGTACTGTCTAGAAGAACCCTTAAGAAATCAACTAAAATATTGAATTAATTGCTTAAAATGATCAAATGAATGAACTGATGTGAACAATTCACTGTAATTGACACAATTGTTTACAGAACTTTTACTACATAAATTATTAAATTGATGATGAACCAATTTAAAAGTATATGAAGGAATAAAGCAATAGTATAGTCAAGGGAAGATTTAGTGGGGACTAGACTGACCCACACCCCCCCCCCCCACACTTTTGGAAAGAAAGAAAAAAATGATCGCCCAAAACCCATCAAAGGTTATTTTCGGGCATCTAGAAAACAAAAGTTTTGCGGGGGAATGCCCCCACCCTCCACCCTCTAGGTTGGTGTTATCTCAATGGACCCCACTTTCGGCATTTCTGTATCTCTTTATTGTGATTGACAGGAAAAGAGGGCAGAGCAAGATGAACAAGTAAGATTAAAAGATATCAGGATAAGTGAACTGACATCAGTGCAACTGGACCTAGATAGAGAACTTAAAGAAACAAGGAGTTTCCTTGATAAGGTATGGCTAAAATTACTCTTCAACTTTTATAAGTTATATACAGTACCTTAAAGTGACCCCTAGCTTTTAAAACGAGTGTAAATTAGGGTATCACAGTCTTTTTAGTTGGCAATCCCCTTACATAAGATAAACAAATACTTCATTCACTTTGTCTTGTTATGAGACAAAGGGGAGAAGGTGTTTTTGTGAGGGCATCTACACAAGCTAAACAAACACTTCATCCATGTTGTCTCATTATGAGACAAAGAGGGAGAAGGTGTTTTTTTTTTTTTTTTGTGAGAATCTACAACTTTATTTTATTCAACTTTCACTGGAACAAAAAAAAAAAAACACCAGAAACAAAATCCGGTGAACAAGCATCTCTTCAAAGAGAAATCAAATTCAAAAATATATAAAATTTATATTAAAAATGAAGATTTTTCCAATTTGCAAATAAAATTTTCAGCATTTAACAACATACATACATAATATCATTTATATAGCGCTACTTCATGAAGAGCAGAGCGCTGAAAGCATGGATTTACAGTAGCTTGTACGGGTTCCTTCGTCACTCTCGTCTGCTCACAACAGGGCTGTATTGACCAGTACACCGAGATAACTCCCTACTCATCTGAAAAGATGTACTAGGTTCTTTAGAGTGCACATGAGCCAATTGTGTTCACTGGGATTACACAGACAGGGCATTGACAAAACCACACCCATGTTCAAGTATTATCAGGCAGAAAATTAAAAAAAAACACTTTGTTTTAAAAGATAAAAAAGAATAATCTGATCGAATAGCTAAAGAACGATTATTCCATGCAGCATAATGATGCGTGCTTTTAGGTAAAGAAGATTCGGCCCATTTTTACTCTGTGACTTCACCAGGCCACGACATGCTTGAGAGCACACACACGCAGGGGCAATAACAAAAGTAATATTTTGTGCAACACAGTACATAACTTGTTTTTACGTCTTTCAATGTTAAAATATTTTGATAAGAAAACATCGTGTCCAAACGACAATGAAAAAACATCAGGTGTAACAAACTCATGTCCATAGTAACTTACAGAATTAAGATGAATTAAAACAAAATTGTTTTGGCTTGAAGAAGCCAAGTGAAAACAAAACAGAATACAGCAACGAAGCACAAAGCCTTTCACTCTAGCTGCCATGCTAATACAGTTCCACCTTGATTGCGTCATCCAGGATTGTGCATTGTTCTACTGAACGTAACGTTACATTTTAGTTTTTGTTCATCTGAACACACAGGAAATGTTCACTGAAATGTTAGTAATAAAAATCCACATGCAATATATAAAACACAAGAAAAAAACAGAAAGATAAACGGGATCTCAATAGAAACACGTCCACATGCCTCAAAGTCAATATTCCTTGAAGTTCGGGATAAAACCCCTGCTGTAATTTTTTTATAAACGAATATTCATTATGTATTAACTATTATTGATATTATATATTTTGATTATTATTATCATTGATTATTATTAGTTTTATTATTATTATTGTTTATTACTGTATTATTATAATTATCATCATTTTATTGTAGCTCGATGGTGAACTTCAGACTCAACAGGCTCGCCAGTCAGCTCTGACAGAGGAAAAGATGAGATTAGAGGACGAATTAATCAACATCCGTTCGGACTTCAGCCAGGCACAGAAACAGATTAGCAGACAAAATGTAAGACTGAATAGCAACATCATGTGTTTCTTAATAAAACAAAGTTGTCTACTAATTGTCAGTAGTCTCAACAGTAAAAGCTTTCCAATACGTACACCTTATCTTGTTACATTCTTATGAAATCTATTTTGTCGACAATCGTCAGTCTGGTGACGTGCGTGCCTGAAATTTTAGTTATGACAGTGTCACAGAAAATATCCAAGTGACAAATGGCAAATACCTGTACCTGGGATTAACCCATATGGGTGTGATATGACATCACCATTTTCAAAGTCAAATCAAAGTCGGATATAGTTTTATCAAAATTCATATGCTAATAAATTCTTATTAGTGTAACAAGTTTTTTATTTATTACAATCCGAGTGTATATTGATCAATAGAGTAGCACTCCCACAATTTATTGACGGGTCCCGACTAAATTTGTACGTCCGATTTTTAAACGGAAAAATTAGGCCTACTCAATTTGAAATTTGATATTTCCTGCAGTAAAGATTGAAATTATTTAATCCCAAATTGTTACATTTTAGCCAGATCTTTCGTAGGTGTGCATTAGGCCTGCAGCAGGTATTTGTTTTTGCACAATATCGTACCAGACATATTCAAAGACTCTAGCCGCACACCCATCATAATCAGTTGAGTTGGACGACATGAGATGTCTGGACTAGTAACAGCGGCTATTAGGCCTAGCCTGTTTTGTGTGAGTGTGTTGGGAGCATTCAACACAGAAATGGTAGTTAAATTGATGAAGATAATGTGCATATAAAATCCAGATCTTGTAAAACTGGAGTTAAAAATTAGGGTTTAGGGCCTATGTAATTTATAAATTCCATCTCAAAAAATTTGCAGTCTCGGAGGTTCTCTAGAAAGGGCATTTGTTCTTCCCCTCATTCCATGCTCAGAGCTATAGACAGTGCTTGTCCTTCGTTGGAAGGTAAACAATTTTATTTATTTTTCAATAAATGAAATGAGGATGGGCCAGACTGTAAAATATCCCCCGCGAAGAGAATTAGGCCTAGAAAAAAAATATGAAATCCCTTCATGCCTGTATTGATTAATCATGTTTAATACAAACTTTGTCAATTTAATGAATCCTGTAGGTTGAGATTCGAGAACTTAGCATTCAGAAAGCTGAATATGGTGCAAAATTATCAGAACAACTTTCAAAGTGTCGTGAGTTGGAAGGTAAAATTAGGTCAGTCAAACATGAGGAAGAAATGGCGAAGGAAGAGTTAGCAACCAGGACGCAACAATTCAAAGAGGTAAAAAATACTTGATTGATTGTAAATTATTCTATTTCACAAGCTTTATTTCCATAACATATAAAACGAAATAATTCATGATTTAGATAAAGGCCACCACTGGAATCATTAGCTTTGAATTTGAAACACAGTGCCTAAAAATTGAAAAATTTATATACAATTACAGAGTACATTTCAAATGAATCAAACAATCTGCTTTTTAGAATTCAGAGACAATTGGCATATTTGATTGGGACTTATCCGTTGAGTACCAACTGAATACAAAAAGTACTTAACAGATATTCTGTTGAGCACGAAAGTTCCCTTTCGATTACGACAAAGGTATCTAAGCTTTCAATTATCTCTTCATTCAGTGTTTATCATGCTAAAAACGAACCATCTTGGATAAATCCACCTTACCTCTCTGTGCAACAAATTCCCCATTTTTTGCAACTTCGCCTTGTTTCTGCATTCTGAACATAAATGCCATTTTTAATGACATTTCATAACATAAAAATCACAATAATAGTATAGTTTTTAATAAATAAATTTTGTATAAAATGTTTTATCTTTTTGTAATGTAAACCTCAGTCTTAAATTATTACTATGCTCCTTTTTTGGTGAGTGGATCACCTCCTTGTTATTGTCAGGTTCACCATCATCATCATCATCCTCTTCTTTCTTATTTTCTTTTCCCCATTTTTGTTAGCAACGATATTCATATTCTTATTCTTTATTCGCCAAAAACAAAAAGTACAATAAAATGGTGGAATACATACAGAAAACAAGTACAATAAATTGAATGAGTTGGCAGGAACACAAAAGCGAACTCAGTCACTATAACACAAAGTCTGTGAACCTCACTCGTCCAGTTTAACATAAATACAATATTATAAATAAAAAGGTCAGTTGTAATAAAATAAAATAAAATTAACAAAATACTGAAAGCAAATATCTAAGTAAAGTGGAATACAAAAATAGATATAACAAAATATGTAATCATTGATCAGAATTCATTTTAACTTTAAATATAATTAAAAAATTAAGATATTTAAACATAAAATGGTATAAAAAACATAATTCTAATGTAATGTAAAACAAACTTATTTCCAATACTTTGTGAATTAAGAATTATTATGAAGGACAAATTGTTTAAGCTTATAGAGAAAGATGTGGAAAGAGTCAACAAGAAAAGAGTGTTTGAGGTCATCAGGGAAATCATCCCAAAGTCTGGGGAATTCATGAATAGCTGAAAGGTGAGGGCAATTGGTTCTTGCACGAAGGTGTTTAAAACCCAATACCTCTTGGTGACGGATATTGACTACAACAAATTGACGAATGCTTTCACAGTCAACATAGCCCATAAGAGTTTTACACACAAATGATGCGAGTAGATATTGTCTGCGACATGACAGATGAGGCCAGGCAAATTTTGATAACCGTTCGTCATACCCCACATCTGCTCGTTTTTGCTTCAATGCAAGTCGTTTATCTACTGATAAAATCTGATCGGACATTGTGACATCATATTGTCATTTGAATTAAAAAAACTGAATTTGTATTTATGACATCATTATTTTTATACTTATTTGTACGTATCGTGTCGAGATTCAATATTTCGACATTAATTATGTCATCATCAGGAATCCTGGCTACATATTTCACTTTTAAGTGTGGGAGATTTCTTTTGCCTGACAAACGGATCACCTAACTCGCCGTGCTGGGAGATTTCTTTTGCCTGACATGTGGTTCACCTAACTCATCCTCAGTGACGAGTTCAAATCTAGTTTTCTATATGTAATTGTTCTATCTTTTATCAAATTTTGTTAAAACATAATGTTCCATTTTTTCCAACCTGCATGTAATCTTGTCCTGGCACATGTCTTGATTTTTTATTTTTGTCCTTTTTTTCCCTACTGTTTAGCGCAGTAAAGTGAAGTGATTATTGATGTTATAAAATATGAGTAGTAAGTGTAGAAGATCAGGCCCATATGCAGGAACACAAAAGCGAACTCAATCACTATATTTTATTGGGTGGGTGCGAATTTGTAGAAAGTGGACCAAAATGGCTCCTGGGGTGGAGGTGGGGGGGGGGAGCTCAGGCATTTTTAATAATTTGAGGTCTTATTTAAACGATTTCTGAAGATGCATGTATGTATTAACAGTTTCCAGTGGCAGATACAAGAATTTGAAAGCTAGGGCCAGGGAGGGACTTTCACAGATGCAGGAGATAACACCTCAGCCCCACCATGGTTGAGGAGAAACTTTATGATTATGGCACCTCAAATGGCCGGAAATTGAACTCTCATACAATTTGATTATCATTTTCTTTTTTCCTCATTTTTTTTTTTTTTTTTTTTCCCGTTGTCAGTTGCAGATCTAGCAATTTGAATTAGAGCGGGGGCAAGGAACAGACATTCACGGATCGAGGGTCTATAACCATCTCAGCCCCACCATGGTTGGGGCTGAGGTAAGAAAATTTATGATTATGGCACCTCTAGATGGCTGGAGATGGCATTCAGACCTAAATTTGAATATCCATTTCTTTTCTTTTTTAAATTAGTTTTGACAAATTTAGGGAAGGGGGTAGAGGGAACCACCACTGGGAATAGTGCTCACAGTCTGAAAGCACAGAGAAAATGTCATCATCACTTTTCTTCATCGATGCTGCTGCTGTGGATGGAGCTTCATTGCCAATTGCACAATATTATCTGATACATATTTGTCTAGACAACCTGTAATCTTTATTGTTTTGACGTTTCTTAAGTGTACTATATATTTCTTGCTCTAACCAGTCTAACATAGGCCATGGCAACCAGTGCGATGATTTCCAAGCGAGAATAAAGATGATTTTAGTGCAGACTTAGAAGGAAGATGAGTTTATACGCAATGAGCAGTGGCGCATTTAAGGGTGGCCTAGCCGGGCTGCCCCACACTCAACAAGAAAGAAAAAATACAAAATATTTACAAATTCAAAAACAAGTGACAAAATTCTTTTGAATCATACTTCTCAAGTAAAAAAAAATTCATTTTTTGGCAGTTTGTTTTTATATTTTAGGTCCCCAAAATGCAATGCTTTGTTTGTTTTGTGTTTAATTATATTGGAGTGATGTTTTGCCCTACTTGAAGTGTTATCGTACCTAATACTCAGTACGTCCCCAAATACTAGCAAAAAAATTTGCAAGTGATTCGGGTGGGAATCAAACCCACAACCTCCAGGTAACTAGCCTGATGTCTTAACCACTAGACCACCAAACTTGTGCTTGGTGACTATTGATGAATCCGATCCCCTAGTAGCAGCGGGTACTGTAAGTGATATTACGATGTGGGTTTGCGTCAGTGAAATATCATAGGAGTGATGTTTCGCCCAGCCTGACGTGTTATAAGTTAGTGCATATAAGCTTGCTAATATGGATAATTTTTTCATTCCTGATGATGACATAATTAATGTCGAAATATTGAATCCCAACATGATGGCGTGTATTTCAATACTTGGAGTATGTATTATACTTTCTTATCTGAGATTAATCAGTGGACCTTTCGGTTTCTGACGTGTTATCTTATCGAATACTCAGTGCATCCCCAAATGCTAGCGAAAAAAATTTGCAAGTGATTCGGGTGGGAATCAAACCCAGGACCTCTAGGTATTTAGACTGACGCAAACCCATATCATAATGTAAGTATAGTTACAAGGTTTTCTTTATTTCTAGTTCCATTATTATGGATAGATTCATTTATCGTAAATTATTCATCAAATATTTGTTAAATTATTAAGTTTACAATTATTAAGATGTACTTGGTGAATGAGCTCCTAGTTTCATATAGCACATCTAATGATTGAAAAAATCATTATTAATGTAGCCCTGTGACTAAACCACTGCGTATAAACAAAAGCGTGATTGACTGTTGATTCCAAGGAGCTCAGCTGTTTTTTCTCGCTGCAGGGTGACTATCCACGCTCCCACAAGCAACTAAGACCACCAAATGGGGTTGTCAGAATTAGTCCCTGGCATCTCAAATGGATGCAGTTTATAACCTCGTAACCAGGACACACTAATCTTATGCTACACTTAAATCCACTTTTTATCTTAAGTAAATTCTTTTATTTTACATCTTGACAGGAATGCAGTGTGGATGCTGACAACATCAAAACTCTTCAACAAGATTTACAAGATGCAAAGGTAATTCATGCGAGTTCAATTAGAGCATTTTCTATGGAAGTGTCCAAGGTTTGTTATTGATGGTAATTAATTAACTAAGAACAAGCTGTTTGCAAAATAGCTGTTTTCAGCTGTTTACACTTAATGTATTTTAATTTCTACTATTGTCTGTCACATTATGATGTGTGATGACAGTTCATCAAGGTTGATGCCTTTTGATTCTGATCCGAACCTGTTTGATGCACACTCCCAGTGTTTATTTTATTACTTGTTTTCGTAAGTGACCATCTGGAAATTTATTTTTGTTTATTTGTTTTTGTTTTTTTTGTTGTTTTTTTTTTTGGTTAATAATAAGGGATTTTCCGATAATATTTTATTACAGAACCATGAAGAGAGAAGAATCCAAGAGTTGGTGATGAAAATGCGGAAAGATCGAGCAAACACTGATGCTGAGATTCAAGCATTGAAGGTGATATTTCCTCTAGTTTACCTGTTATACAAAATGTACTCCCTTCAGATGCAACATAATATGTTGGTGAGCAATAGTTGCACATGATCATGTGATAATATATTAAATGATGACATGTGCAACTATTATTCACCATCTTTGAATATTTAATATTTAGATTGAGTTAACAGAGGAACAAGCAATAAGTAAGTCAGCCAAGAAACAGCTAGAAAAAAGCAGATTATCAAACGATGAACTCACAGAGAAACTAACTAAAGCAGAAGAAGAGAACAACCAGCTAAAAATGCACTATGATAGAATAAGGCAACGCTATGAGGAGCAGACACAGCTGGCAGAACTAGAGGAGAACAGGTGAGGTTGAGGCATAATCCATTCATTTTCCTGAAATGCTTAGATTAAATCTATTGAGACATCGAGATGCCTAGTTTGTTTTCTTCCCCAATAAATTGAACAGTACTTTGTTAAACAAGTTTAGTGTTAATTTAAAAAGCTGACCAGCAAATCAATAAACGCCATACAGTGACTATGTTATAAATGTATTATGTTAATGATAATAGCCGCTAAGCAGGTTATGTTTTCCCCGTTTGTTTGTGAACAACATACAGGCCACAATTTTTATCAGAAACTTGTCAAACTTGGTTCACAATGATTCATATCAAAATTCAGTAGGTGATAAAATTTTGAAGGGTCAAGGTCACAATCAACAAAAACTACTTTTTTTTTATAAAACAGCCTACAGCCAACAATTTTTTTTATAAGAAATTTGTCAAACTTGACAATCTAAAGGTTATTCAATTTGGATAAAAACATCTTTATTTATATAACAGGCTACAGTGCATAGTTTTCATCAGAAGGTAGTCACACTCAGCCACAATATCCCATGACCAATGATCTGCAAGTGACTAAATTTTGAAGGGTCAAATGTCAATGATACAATGAATAGAAAACTAATTTTTAACTGTCTGCTGTACGGTATGGAAAGATAAAAACATATGGGCATTAATTTCGCAACGATACATGTGAAATATTTTGGTGTAGTTGTTAGAAGAGTGTTTTGCACACTAAGTACTGGCCCTGGGTTTGAATCTCATAATGCCTATTTGTTTTTTTCATTATCTTTTATTTTATTGTCAGTATTAATCCCAGACCTAAGTATCTAAAAAATGTAGGCACAAAAATATTTGTGAGAAATTTATACATGTGAGAATTATGATGTGGGCGAAGGTATGAACTCTTGGATTGTATTCTAGTTCACCAACACTTAAAACGAAACAAGTCATTTTATAATGGAATTTTTCCATGAACAAAATACTACATCAAAATAAATAGTCGATTTGAATCCCCCAAAATCGCAAGGCCTATCCAGTATGTTTTTTAATTTGTAAGAGTGCAGGGAGGGGTAAGATCTAGTGTAAAAGCAACGAGTGGTGATCTATCATTTTCTTTTCTCTCTTCCCTTATCCATAAAACCATAAGTGATATTTTTTTCCAAAGGCCTAGTAGGGAACAGACCCAGTGGCAGTAGTACCAGTACAGGCTCTAGGCCGTGCATGTCAAAGATCGTATTTCGCAATTTTAATTCATGACCTGCGGACGATTGGGACTATATGCTAAAGTGAAGATTCTTCAATGCTAATAGGTTTTCAAGATCGTACCGTAATGTTGGCATTACAAATTAGAAATATACTTTAAATGCCATGAAGTCGGCGTTACATTTACTATAATACCTACATACTGGCCTGAATATAAAATCAAACAAATCTAGGGAGGTAGTCTGCCTAATTTATTTTATCCTAGCGCACGGCTGGTTACTCACACTTTTCTTGGCTGCTCACTACTAGAGTTCCTATATAGAGAGAGTTGCAACATGAGCCACTTATTGAACGCCTATTCTACAGTGTGGTGATTGTATAAATAACAGGCAATTGTAAAAAAATTATTTAAAATTTTAAAAACAAAATTTTATGTCATTTGATAGTAAATATCTGTTAATTAATGCATATTTAATAATAATAATAATTGTCAATTTATATAGCGCATAATGTAAAATACCTCTATGCGCTTTACAGCATGGTGTGGTAAAAAATTATTAACCCTCTGGATACTGGATTCTTTTGTAGTGCAAACCCTTGAATACCGGATTCTTTTGCAGTGTAACAAGGTTTTTTGAGTATACGTCGTTCTGGTGGATTTTTGGGAACTTTCTGTCAATTATACAGAAAAATGTTTCAAAAACAAAGAAAGCTTATAGAATAAGCTTTCATTTGATGTATAATTTATATTTTTGGGAATTTCTTTTTCATAATATAATATAATATAATATATATAATATAATGGAAATGACAGAAAAATACTACATATAAATCGTCAGCAAAAACCAAAAAAAAAAAAATTATAGCCAAAAAAAAATAAAAACAAATATAAAACATTCCTTTTCCACACAGTTATATAATTTATTTACCCAACCATCCATAACTATAAGCACGATCCATTCAAAAGCATCGACCACCCTCACATTTCTAGGCCTAGGCACATCTAGAGGGTTAAAAGTTTCACCTAACAAAAATAATGAGTAACAATAAAGAATAACAACAATAAAAATAAATATATAAAGTTAATCAATAAATAATTTGAAAATACAGAATTTTTTATTTACTTTTTTAAATATAATTGTTAAATATTTTTTTCCTTAGTCGTATTTCCTTACTTACCTTTTACTCTTTTCTCCATTTCTTTTTTCCCCTTTTCCTTTATTTTGGATTGGATTTATTCGGTGTAAACACCAAGGATAGCCCACGAAATTCCAGAAGAAGACTTATTTCCAGTAGGGTCCTTCTGGTGGTGATTGGACAGTACACCAGGAGACAATCCCCTACTCTTTTCTGAAGAGTGTACTGCGTTCTTTAACGTGCACATGTGCCTTAAATGCACACGGGACCAACGGCTTAAACGTCTCATCCCAATGATGGTGTGCTATTGTAACTTGTATTTCAGCCCTCTAGCTGAAACACAAGGAGAGGCAGCGATGGGAATTGAACCGGGGACCTAGAGATCTCCACGGTTCAGCGCACACAGTGGCTACCACCAGATTAGCCGACTGAGCTAAGCTGCTCTCTCTTCTTTCAGACTTACGACCCATCTCTCTTTTCCTTATATTTGAAGTTTATAGTAAATTTCAAGAAAAAATTGATTCTCAATAGTCTGTTATAATTAATTATATTACATGTAGTTTTTGCTTGACCAGATTGGCGTAGCACCTTTAGCTAGGCGTACATGATTGCATTTCTGTAGTTATGCCTCCAAATCGAAAGATGTATATTTGGTTGACTAGTAAAATTTAGATAAAGACAGTAAATTTTCATATTAAAAACCATCAGCTTTAGTTTTGAGTTATTTATTATTTAAGTGGTCGACCTTTGGTGTCTTTCAACGAAAACTGCACCGATCTTAAGGTTGAGCAGAGATAAGAGAGAAGAGTTGGGCCGCGAACCATGTGTATAACATAAACAGGTACTGGCTGCAATTTAGAACTGTCCATTTTCAAATGGAGTGTAATTTTTTTTTTTATCACAAGTATTATATCGCTAGTTGTCGGTAATCTTTCACAGAGTAGGCAATGGTTTAGCATGTTTTTTCATGGAATTCTCAAGCTGAAATTTGGCTTTCGTGTTTCACATGAAATTCAAGTAAAATCAATTAATAAACGTTTTATAAAATGTACATGATTTAGCTTTAGTTTAATGCATCATTTGATCTACTTTGATGACGGACAACGTTTTCGGAGGTACAGTCTTGCACGTGATCCCTTTCATCAACAGCAAGAAGAGTTTGCTGTCCTGAAAGTTAGCCCAGGAGGCGTTATATTTGTTCATAGATTTGTAAAATCGCTGAATATTACGATAGTCTCACCTGTTCACGGTTCTGAACAACGTCCCACCCAGCCAACTATTGTTAGCATCAACCAGGGACCTACTAATTTTGTAGGCAATGGTTTTTGAAGATTACCAATCTACCAGTTTCAGAATTGTTATTTACAGACCTCTTCCTTCTGCTAAAAATAGCTTACATCAACCATGTTCTTAAATGAGTTTTCACTATTCGGTGAGTCATCATTGACAAGCTCAAACCTTTAATATACATGTAGATGTAAAGGAGCATAGGGATTCTTCACAGTTTCTTCAACTAATTGAGTCAATGGATCTCTTCCAACATATTACACTTCCTACACATAAACGAGGACACACGCTTTATCTTGTAAAAATAAATTGCAGCTAGTAATCAGCGCAGGTTGTGGTGGAACCTACCAGGTACCCATTCGTACTCCTAGGTGGAGAGAGTCAACCGTAGATAAAGTGTCTTGCCCAAGGACACAAGCGATTTGCACAGCCAGAGTTTCGAACCCCTGACCTCAAGGTTGGGAGTCCAAGCCACAACCGGTGCGCCAACCGCTCCTAATACAAGATCACTCCATTACGTTCTAGCAGGGCTTCTTCATACCCCTAAAGCATTCACACAGTCATATGGCAATTGTGCCTTTTCATTTGCTTCTCCAACCAACTGAAATAACATTCCATTACACATCAAACATGCAACTTCCATCATTACATTAAAATTTTTATCATTTTTTTATCTGACTTATATGTTATGGTTAGTTAAGAGTAATATACTGTATTTAAGAGTAGTTAAGCCTAGCTTAAGGTAGTTAGGGACTTTCTGGGTATGACATTAAACTCCATCCTGTCGAAGCGTCGGCGACTAAACTGACAACCCTCTCAGATATGTCTTAGTGTATGCTGAGGGGAGGGTCACCCATCAGCAAGAAAAACCAATAGCTCAACAAAGGGCAGATGAGCTCCTCGGAGTCAACGGCCAACCAATTATTAGTTTAAGGAATAGGAGTAGTTTAGTCTCATTGTTATTATTGTTATTATGATTATTATTTTTTATTTTTTTTTATTTTTTTATTATTATTTTATTTTCTTTTTATTATTTTATTGTTATTTGCATTTTCTCAGTTGGCCTATATTATTTCTTTGTAAAGCGCATAGGGGCAATGTGCAATATGCGCTATATAAATATAACATATTAATATTATTATTATCAGTTTTTGCACGCACAGGCAGCGTACAAACAGATTATGTTTCCTGCGTTCAGGTTGTGTGTTTTGAATAAAATTTACTGTACATATATTTTTTAGTGTGGTGCTTATATTTTACAGTAATCGTGGTGCAGTAATTTAGTTTTTTCGCCCAAATGTGGCGGTCCTGCCACACTTCAGTATAGCTGGCGAGATCACTGATTCTCTATTTTCTGTAATTTATGTTTTATCAAACTTGTCACCAGACCAAGGCTTGTTTTTTTCTTTGTCCTGTTTTTACATGATCATCGGGCTTTAATGTGGGCTATAATAAAATTAGAACTTCTCGACTGTAGCTGCTTAATTTAATAAATCAAAGAAATGTCAATTAATTATCCACTTTCAAAATAGTGATAATTTTTTTTATTTGATCATATGCAATTATTTGTATCCTACAGATTGACCAAGTTAGAACGTCATTACCAAGTCCTGCAAGACAGAGCTCGCAACCAGTCTGTGGACTATGACAGCGTTCTAAATAGCATAGGCAACGATATAGACACCCTGGTGCAGGTGTTATCCAAAGAGGACAATGACCCTTATGCAACAATCCAATCACCAAAGAAAAACTTCAAATATCAACCACAAAAATGGCTTACAAGTTATAGGGTTAGTTGTGCATTTTGATAAATGTTCTGCATTGGCGTAAACTTATCACTATAAGAATAATTGAGCTACAGTATTTGTAATAGTGTTACAAATACACAAGTCATACATAGATGAAATAGATGAAATGTTAATACAATTCGTTACTAGTTGTTATTGTATGATTGTGTTTGAAAAGAATGCAGGTCTCATTTTAAGGCATAGTGATTAGAGATGATTTTTATTTAGTAAACAAGAGAAATATTGTTTTAATAATTGTGAGAGCGTTAACTAATTTGGTTAAAGAAGTGTCCATTTGAAAGGAATAAAGCAGAATCTGCTAGAAGAAAAGATTGATGTCGATGGTCAGGAAGAAGTGTATACAATAACCACATTCATCTTCTGTTACGTTAGAACAAATTACATTGGGTACAGCATGAGATGAAACAGCAGCTTAAAGAAGGGAAACGTTTGAAACAGGACTTAAATCACAGTAGAGGAAACATTGAGGAAGCAGTGAAAACACTACATGAAGAAAAAGAAGTTTTCATATCAGAGATGGATCAACATGCAAAAGCTGTGGACAAACTACGATTAGAAAGAACTCGTAAGTTTATATAAGTTGCAGTGTTCATGTTGTACATTATAAATTTTGACAGCAAGTGCTGCATCTTGGCCAATCACAGAATGGAGTGTTCAGAATGTTTACATTATTAACATGCATAGACAGATAAAATGCAAGTTATGAATGTACCAAAATTATGATATGAAAATGAAGAACTCTCTCTTAGAACATTAAAGAGTCCATGATCACTGATGGAAAAAAACAAATTTTGTTTGTTTCCATCAATGATCATGTTACAGAAAATTGACATCTTAAAATTTTTCTTAATTCACAGAGCTTGAACTTGACAATTTAAGAAAAACTAAGATGATGAATTCATTGGAGAAGCAGGTTATCTCTTTGGAAACTCACATTGAAATGGTATGTACTGTATAATTATGTAATCATCACAGATATACTTTTAAGGGAAGTACCTTGGTGGTTATAACCCCTAACCCTGTACACACTGCGACAGCCAGCATGACCGACGAATCCTTCTCCACTTCCTGTTGATTGTCTGTCACAGTTAAGGGCATTGCCATTAAATACAAACCATTGTGTGTACCTTGATGTGTTTCTATGAAACTATGTCGTCCGATTACCTTAAGAGCAGTTGTCTGTAAAAATCAAAGAAATTTCAAAAATAGTGGCAGACTCAAAAAAATGGATTTCTTTCAAATTTTGCACATGGCTATACCTTTGTTAAGAGATCTGAAATATGAAGTTTTATTCACTTTGTGCGTATATTTCCATGGCAACGAGTAAATTTGTATTTTTGGCAATTTTTGTCATTTTTGGCTGTTTTTAAATGTTAATATTAGTAATAATTTGATACAATATTTCTGATATCCTTATGGTTTATTCATCAAAAATAATGAGTGCGTGTATAAGGTCAATACATTGGGTATCTGTTGCATATTTTAAAATGTTTTTTGGATTACGTAGTTGGGAGATACCATGTTTTTAAAAAGGGGTGTTTTTCTTTTTTTCAAATTATGAAAAACGTCCAAACTTTAAGTGCTCATAAACCTCAAAGTGGTGCTTTTTTAGAACTGATTTTCTACAAATAGGTAGTTCTAACGCTTCTTTAGAGAATTCCAGTTTAAAAAATGTGGGTAATTAAAAAATGTACGAGCAGTGTTGCCAGAAAAACTGGCATTTTTCATTAAAAAAAATTATAATAGTAAAATTTACCAGTTTTTTCCGCTGATTTATTCATAGATTACTTCTGATTGCAACAATAATAATTGTTTTTCTATACTTTAATTAATGTTGTGATTAAAAAAGAACCAATGTTTGTGGTATCAATGTTGTCATTTTTCTGTTTTAGCTGTATTTTAAACCCTTTTTAGGTGAGTTTATAATAATTTCACTTTATACATACCAATTTCTCTCAGTGGTGTCACCAGTTGGACACAGCACCTTAACCTGCCTGGGAATGCCAGTCCCTGAATAGCACCCTCTCCTCCCTCACCACATCCCTTGCAACACCCCTACCCCTTCTTGTCGGGACAAGTTAGGAATTATCGTGAAAAAAATATAAACCTAATATGTGGTCGTGGTAGGGGTGGTGCCAGAATTCGCCCGACAAGAAGCCCTATGTCCCAGATGGTGGTCCGATTACAGCATTCAGAGAATCTCGAGCAGATTTTTTTGGAAAATGAATATCTTGGCACATTTTTGTTGCATTGCGGTGTTCCAAACACAAGCCCAGAACAGCGATAATGAAAGATGTAGTTTCATGGCTAAAGAGTGTGCTTCCTAAGCTTACATCTATATTTAAGACACAACAATGGTGGCTGCTACCACTGTACAACTACACTACTTGCAACAAAAGAAATTGCTGAAAAGACGAGGGTAAATGTGCAAATCTATGCAGATGAAGTTCATGTCATTGAAGATGGTTTTAAAATGAAACATGCTTTAGAATCAGATAGACAGTAAAAGGTTGTTCCTACTTTCTCAAATGTTGCAACATATGAAGAACTGCAAGTGGGATGGTATAAGCCTTCTTAATAATTTTGAATTTACAACTACAGGCAGGGGCGGATCCAGAGATGTCCAAAAGTGGGAGGGCCGAAAGTTGTTATAATAGTCATGTATATAGTAATATTATGGTGACATGAATTAGGGCCTATATTTTATATTATAGCATTTTCCGTACAGTAAAAAAATGTATATTTACAATATTTTTTAATGAAAGCATGCTGCTTTTTCTGGCAATACAGTAACCTTACAACACATTCCTTAGCATGTTGTTAAACTAGTCAGGTAACTATATTTATTATGGTTAATTAATTATATTATATTTTAGAGCGTTAACTGTTCATTAAAATGATGTATATTTATGTTAATTTTCATAATAAAACAATGCACATTTTCTGGCAATACAGTACAAAATTAAGTTCTAAATTACTTGAAATGAGCCTGGCAACACATTTCTTAACATGTTGTTAGACTATTTATGTAACTATAGTAACATTATTTTAAAATAAATTTATGTTGATGTATAGTGTTATCCATTCAGTAAAAAATGATATATTTTTATTCAAAAAATGAAGTTTTTTCTGGCAATACCGCATCCTCGTGTTTAAATTACCCACAACTTTTATTCTTGATTATTGTTTGGACAACTATTGACTATCAAAATATGGAAGATGGTGGATATGTGTGCACCACTTTGGAAGCTACAGATAGGTTCTGAGGCATACTTTAAAAAAAATATATATTCTGAGAAAAACCCCCTTTTGTAAATAATGGTATCTTCCAAATAGAATTTTTACACAATTTTTTTTTGCGATAAATGAAAGTTAATACCTGGTTATTTACATGGATGATCACAAAAATATATATAGTGCATGTTCTTTTTGTTAATGAGGTCTGAAAGTCAGTGTTTTTTCACTTTTGAAAATGTCCAAAATTGACAAAAACAATAAAATTTAGATAATGGGTCATTGTCATGACAACAAAGGCTAAAAAATTAAACAAATGTCATAGATATGCTTTATATCCAAGTATCTATTCATGGTAAAAATTTGAGAGAAATCCATTGTTTGACATTTGCCACCAAATCTTTGATTTTTATGGGCAACCATTCTTAAGTATAGTGTGTGCCTGGCTTAGGATACTTACCTTCTAATCCCAGGATTCTGAGTCCAAATCTAGTACAACTCTACAATTCCAAAGTTTCATCATAAGGGCAAAAATATGTTAGTGTTGCCCAAATATATTGAAATTTAGAAATCCGGGTATTTTTTTTTACTTGGTTTGTACCATCACATAATGATTTTCTAGATTTGATCTGGTTTCTAAAATCTCATAATATTCACAATATGTCAAAATGCACTAATTTTGTTACAAGGAATTCAAGTGTAAAAAAGAGAGATTCTACTCCAGCCCTGTACCATCTATGGTCAGGATCTTTAATAACAATAGATAATCAATCAAGATCTGCATCAATCAAGATGAAAAGAGAGAGGGTGAAAGTTTCCAATTTTTTTTTTTCTCCTATTCCTCTTATTCATTAACCCTTTCTCAGCAAGACTTGGCAAATTTTTCTGTCTTCCCTTGTCGTCCCTTGTTTGCTCGTGTCATTTGTGTCTTTTGGTTGGGTCATGCTTTTTGATGTTCTGTTGTAAATTTGTGCCTTCCCAATTTTTTAAGAACTTTGAATGTTTTAATAATCTCACTTGTATATTTATATAATAATTGTTATATTTTTATATTAATAAATTAATATAATAATAATAATAATTTTTTACTTGTATAGTAATAAATGATTATAATAATAATTGTAATAATTAAGTAATAATCTCAATAGCAATTTGAATGAATTTTTAGAATGATTTCATGTTAAATGTAATTTTTTGTTAATTTTTTCTCAATTCAGTTCTGTGAACTGCAATGAAAAAGTTTCAGTTGAATATAGATACCTTGATAATATTAGCTGTACAGTCCTTGTTTCTGTGAAGACAGTGATCAGTACACATTGCACAATATACAGAAGTATTCTGATATGATAAATGATATTTTCATTATTCAGAATGCTAATGCTTTAAGGAGGAGCACTGAAATCTTACCAGAGAGGGATTCAGAAGCTCTGAAACCGTTAGCTGAAGATGAGAATAGCAACATTCAGGTAAGACTTACAATAATATTTATATACCACCCTCTAGACAACGCTAATAGTGGGACACATAGAAAATCCTTTTTTCGCTAATCATATCTTTGCCGACATATCTGGTGGTAAACAAAATTTACTTTAAAATTTTGGCCTGGCCATGTTGTTTATTGCCAGGTTTTACAAAGTAAGTGCAACAGGATTAATGAACGCTATCAGAAGTACCGAAGCACAGTAGATTCGCTCCAAGAACAGTTAGAACATGCCAAATTATCAGCTCAACAACATAAATTTAGTATGGAGTCGAGCGAACATGCTGCGCAACTGGCAAGTCTTAGCCCACCGACACGTAAGCGGCGTGTACAGATCAATAACTCACCGCCGGTGAGATACGATGCAAGTCCGATGCACCAGGATTTTGACAACAGCTTGACACAGCTTCGACCATTGACAGGTAATATCTTGTTTTGTGAAGCCTCACAATTTTACTGTACAGTATGTCATATCTTTCCATTTTTCATTGATCAGAATTAGAGTGAGGCATTGGTCTCTTTTTGTAGACCAACTCACCATTAGCTAGATACAGGCTCATCTAGCGAGAATTTATTCTAAATGAAAACATGTAATCTATACCATGGTTATTATCAGGGTATAAGCATTTCACCAGATCTATACCAAGGTACCATGGTTATTGTCAAAGTTCCAGGGTTACTGTTAATATTACTATTATACTTGCCATCTTTCAGGAAGATCTAAATCATCTCTGAAGAGCACAGGAGGACATCATTACCAATACACTCCGGAACCACTTGATATGTCAGATGGAGAATTTGTGAAGAGGTTTATTCCAGCCACTCCTTGAGAACCTGTGCCATCCATTCTTTGATAACCTATGCCATCCATTTTTGATCAATTAGAGATCATGCTATCCTTCCTTGGAGCAACTTTGCTATCCACTCTTGCACTACTTTATATTTTTTCTAAATATATATTTTGCATTTATTTTGCATAAACCATTCACATGTGTCATAATGAGGGGACAAGGGCAGGAATATGTGCATGACTCACACTTGGTGCCCCACAAATGCATGTGTTTGCATATGTTTCTACATTTTTTTGGTGGAGACCTTAGCAACAATATCCAAGGGCAAGGTGCTGGCTTAGTAGAAAAGTTTATTAAGGTGTTCTTCAGCAATATATAAAATGAAATTTAGATCTGTAAATAATATTGACTTGAACAGTCACCTTTCTATCAGTACTCAGATATTTTGTTCATAATCTCTCATGATGAGGACCTTGTTCTGCTATAGATAATAAACAAGTTATGTCATCCAACATATTTTCATGAATTTACCAAAGTCTACAGAACACTAAAACTTAGTATTTTTATAATTTTAATTTCTTGTGTATATATAGTACGTATAGTTGTAAATAATGTGGCTTTTTATCTGAAAAAAAAAATACTAGAATGGGAATTTTTCCTAAATACTTTCTATGTAATTTTTCTGGTGCTATAAGGAAACTACTGTATGGTTATTTGTTTTGTTGGTACTATTAAAAACTACTACTTTCAAAACACCATTTTAATGTAAATATCATTCTGATGAATAGACAACAAACATCACAATTGCAGGTAAACCAATCCTCATTGAAATTCTTGTGATCTTATTGAAATCAGTACTTGCACCCTCAGAGTTCATATTCACATTTGTGTTTGTTGCCATTAAAACATTTCCACATTATACTTTATTACCCACATTTGTTCTTTGGGGTTGGTTAAAAATGTAAACATCTAGAGTTTTCCACACTTTGGTTGGCTGTAATACTTCACTTCTAAATCTCGGGCCGATTCTTTAATTTCACTTATTGGACTTATAATTTTGTTATTCTCAAACGCCTATTTTAAGAAAATTGATGATGTTAAAAACAAATCATCCCTCTCAGTTTATGAATCCTTAACACCCCATCCTGTATTACAACATTACCTTATTGATAAAACGGACTTTGAGGGGGTTGCATTGAAATTTAACTTAGATCAAATACGCTACCATTAAATTCCAGAACATCAAATTGGTCCACGAATAATAATGAAAAATGTACCCTATGCAATTTAAATTCAGACGAGAATACAAGACATTTCCTCTTAGTCTGCCCATCCCTACAAAATATACGTAATGATCAAATTTATAAATTAAAAATTGAATTACTTGACAATATAGAATTGTATAATGAATTTATTAATGCAAACGATGACCTAAAACTACATCATATTTTGGGTTGTTCATCACTGCTCCTTAGCAGAAGTATGAAATATCTTCGACAAGTTTTGCAAAAGATATACCAAAAGAGCATGGAAATTCCTCAACGAGATTTTGAATTCCATGCTCTAACTTTGCTTTGTAGTACTGCTATTCAGTTCACCTCTGTTTTCAATTTCATTTAGTTGTTTTTCTTTCCTGCATTACTATTTTTTATGTATGTTGCTGATGTTTTTAAGGGGAAGGGGCAAATGCATAGTTTGGGGAGGGAATAACGGTACTTAGAACATTGTTTCTGCTTATAAGGGGTTTAGTTTTATTGATGAGGGAAATGTATGCTCTCAGGGATGTTCGGTATTCTGAACATATTTGTTTTTAATTTTTATGTAATTGTTTTCAAGTTTAATTCATTTTCCTTTGTCGTTTTTTTTACTACTTTTTAGTTTTAAGTTTTGTTTACTTCGTATAATATATTATATTTACTTTTAATTGAATAAGCGTCATTCAGGGGATTGAAATGAGTATTGAGGTATCATTGCATATTATATTAATACTTTGACGTGGGTGGGTATTGGATAGGGGTGATTGTCAAATGCTTGAGTGACGGTTACTCAATTTATACTTTGTTTTCTTTAGCGTATTCTGTTTGAAGTACTGTATTTTTTTTTTTTTTTGGACGCACCTTTATCATGTGAAGTGTGCCACTGTTTCAAAAGTGTAGATTCCCAATAAATTATTATTATTGTTATTGGACCAAATAGCAACATGGATGTTCCGAACAAATTGACACCAAAATTAACCCTCTACCACCAGTGGTAGCGAAGATATAAGGACAATATGGCTATAACCTTGAAGCATGTCAGAAACGACATTTCCGGTCATTTTTTAGCAAAATGTTCTATTAGAGAAAATAGAAATATGCATGTTCCGAACAATTTGGCACCAAATTCAACTCTCCACCACCTGTGGTTGTGGAGATACAAGGACCTTATAGCTTTGACCTTTGACTCTGACATTTTGACCTTTCGCCATATTTTGAAAATATGTTACCAAGCCAAAAATGATTCTTGGACCAACTTGCGAAGTCAAATTCTCTGCACCTCAAAGTGCATACAAAACTTGGTCTGACTCCTAGGGTAAATGCGATGATAGGCCCACCTTGCCTTGTGCCTTGGGATTGCAAAGTTCCTACCGGTTTTGTTATTCCACTTAACGCTAACACAAATGTTAGCGTATCACACGAACATACATCGCTATTAGTCATCATTTATAACTTTACTTAATTTATAAAATATAATAGAATGAGGTAATTGATCAAATGCCCCTTCGACATCAAGGGAACACATTTGACCCTTGATTGTTGCAGTATGTAAACACACCGTTACTGTGGCAGCCGCCATCGCAGTACCTCTACCGTTTACGAAACCATATTGAGATGGATCAAGGTTAACGTAAAAACATAGATCAAGTAGGCACAACTCAAATAGTTTAGAGTATTTGATACAATAATGGGTCTACAGTTTGCAGCTACTGATGGATCAAGAGTGTTCTTTTTGAGAATGGGGATTAGAGTACCCTCACAAAATGTTTTTGGGATGACCCCATACTTAACGCAAATACTCAATAGGTTTGCAATTATAAGTGGTAACTTGGAGCCTACACCGGTACCTAATCCGTATTTGAGATGTTTGACAGAAATAACATAAGGTCTAGGGGCGGAGTTATTATTCAAATTATTGATATATTTTTCAAGTCTTCAATACTTTTCCAAAATTTCCTTTTGTTTTTAATCCTGTGTAATCTATTTAAAGTATTAAATTTCTGAGATTTAACTTGTCTTATGGCATTTCTACAGCAATTTCTATAAACTTTTTTTCTTGTAGCAGCTGTTAATATATCCAGAACGTGGTTTCTCACATTGACCCCATATACGATACCAAAAGCGTATCTCTAGCAATTCTACAGTTATTATTCCACCAATGTGTTTTTTGGGTATATCTTTTAGGCTTAACGTTATTATTACAAGATTTCACAGTCGTGTATAATACCCACAAGCTTCATCATCAATATTGGTAAAATCATGGTCATATATTTTAAATTGTTCAAGACTGACATTTTGTATCTTTTCTGTTGGAAAATAACAAAAGGACAGCATGAAAACAGTTTACCCATGCTCCCCACCAGAGATATTATGACTGCTAATATGTCTTTGACTTTCAACTTACTGTGTATTTCAGAAAACACATAACAGAAAACACTAGATGTAGTAAGTATTCTATGTTTTTTTTTTAAATTTAATATAATTTTCTATCACAAAAAATGACTATCAAAATATAATACTATTATAAGAAACAACAATGCATATTTACAAACACTAAACTATGGTGGTATAAATAAATTCATTTTGAAATAGATTTTAATTAGATTAATATTGGAAAATTTAACAGTAAGTATTACAAAATCATCTACAGTAAATATATTAATTACGTACCAACATCAAACATCTTTCTCAATTTAATCAATTTTTCTATTTGGCAATATTATTAGTTTATAGAAAATTAGAGCACAATAACAGAAAAAATACTTGCTATTACAAAAAAATTATTAATGAAGTTGTGTGGAATACCTATTTTAATGCTGTAACCGACTCATTTTGTACATGAAAGTGATTCTTTTTCTTTTTTAAAGAAATTGACAATGCAAGATGAATTTCCTTATTTGTATTTGCGATGACCACTAAATCTCTTCTCCCTTCTACAGTATAAGTAAATAAATCTATGTATGACCTCGACCTACTCTACTTAGTTTAATGAAAACTTGTCTTTTTTAGCATTCTAAATCACTGGAACAAATTTAAGTGTGTCCGCACCAAGCCCTCCCCCATGGTAAATCCTAAATGTTCATGCTGAAGTAAAACCCTTATAAGCACCAAGTGGAAGAACTATTGTCTAAGCTTACTAACTACTTAAACTACATCATTATCACATAGGATCATACAAAATATATAAATGTTTAAAAAACTGAAAATATTTTTTCTCTGAAAGCACCAAAATATTCAGAAGACTTAACAACTGAACAATAGCCCAGCTAACTACATAACCACATTTTGACACTTGCTGTATCATGAAAGTTTAAAAGATATTTAGACAATATATACATCTAGTCAGGTATATGACTGTAAAGTAGTGTCTCAGGTGGGATTGCTTTTGCAATTTTGTATAGAAGGCAGGTTACAACTGATTTAGAATGAATTATTATTATTATACTGTATTGCAGTTTAGTTTATACATATAATTTACTTAAGCATGTAAGAATCCTTTTAGTTTTCCATCTCTGTTTAGCTGAGATGCAATGCGCAGGCCTATTATATCTAGTCAGGAATATGACTGTAAAGTAGTGTCTCAGGTGGGACTGCTTTTGCAATTTTGTATAGAAGGCAGCTTACAACAACTGATTTAGATTGAATTCTCATCATCCGACAGTAGGAGACATACAACTACAGTAACCAGCAAAAGCTGGTCATTGGGCAATTCTGCCCAAAAGTATCCAGTAGTTTGAAGATGTTGGCGTTACTATTACCTAAAACTGACACGACATATTAGGGGTTAGCAGATTGTCAAGTGGCTGAGCAGTAAGCTGGTGTACTTAAACCGTACAGCCCTAACATTGCGCGCTGCTTTCAGCTTGACCCCAGGGATCAGTTGGTAGAACCAAGTCTAAGACTTAAGGACATAAAAACAGGTCCAGTGTACACTTCTTTCGAAAGAGGCTGTTACCTCGACACTATGGTTTATTTCAGCCCGTATGTCATTGTGAATGACGTGAACTAAGCGGCTCTCTACAGTTGTTAAAGTAGTAAGACCACGCCCTTGAAATTCAGCACAGACTCAATCAACCAACCAATTTGTTTTTTCCCCATTTGCAGGCTAGGGGCCTGACATGCAAATGTGGAAATCCCTTAAACTTTGCTTGTACTTGGTACCATGCAAGCTTAAATAACAATTCATCTACACTTCACTAAAGGCGCAACTACACAATTCCTAAATATGCAGGCCCGTAACGCAACTTAAATTGTGGGAGGTTCGTTTCGATGGAAAGTAGACCCTGATCTCCGATACTCTGAAGAACATTGTAAATTTGTCTACGAATATCAATTTTTGTTTTTAAATGCGGACCCTCTCCAGTCTTTGGGCGGTTCGTCGTAACCCCCTTAACCCCCACGCTAGGGGCCTGACATGCAAATGTGGAAATCCCTTAAACTTTGCTTGTACTTGGTACCATGCAAGCTTAAATAACAATTCATCTACACTTCACTAAAGGCTTGTAATTTTTCAGAAAAGCATTTTAACAGGGGTCCTCCCTCTAAATCTGCCCCTGTTTAAAATTATGTTTAAATGTTACAAGACTCGCTTTACTATAACAACCAAATGTATTTTTTGTTGTATTTCTGTAAAAGATTTTGGCAAAAAAATATATAAAACTAATGGAATTGTTTGTCATGACATATTATATCTGTGGTCATGAGAAAATTTGAGCCCAGAACCTTGAGATTGGAAGGCAAAGCACCTTAACAAGCTACAGCTGCTATACCATAATCTAAACAGTACTTCTAAAATTCCTCTGCAACATAATATAAAAAGTTTGCAGAATCTTCCAGCTTTTCTATAAAACCACCATCATGAAAATGTCTTGGATGATGGTGACACAGACAAAAGTATTTGCTGTATCAATAATGATTAGAAGTTTTTCTACATTAAACATTATATTTTTAAAAGAACATAATTTCCTCTTTAGTTAACAAGCATGGACAATTTTGAAGCATGTTTTTTCCTCTGTATAATTCTCATTTCTTGTCAGAAACACGTCGTGGAGACTTTGTGGGTGATGTTTGCACAAGAGGATTTGATGAAGTGATTCGATCTGTTTTCTTTTGGGTAGGCCTTTGTAATGGCTTTACTCTTGGAGGCGGCGGGAGTTTAGGTATCTTACTGGATTGCACTTGGCTTTCAGGCTGCAAAAGAATAGATTAATAATTACAAAAAAAAGGAGCACCAAAAATTGTGTTTGATTAAACCTTGCAAGTATTAACATTTTAGGGAGAGAAAATTGCCTGGAAAGGTCTATCAATTGCAGATGTTGTGACACTGCTGATGCTTAATGAAGACGATTATCATGTAGACATTGATGATGACAAATGATAATAATATTCACCATCTATGTATTTTTCCATTGAAATAAGGAAGAAAATAACTTATTGTATATTCAAAGGGCTTTAATACAAGACACATAATAGAGAACTCATACCTTGCTAATAACCGACGGAGCGTGAATGCTGATCATGTGCACAAGCAGATTCCTGTAATGTCCTGTGCACTTTCTGGCAACATCATCCTCCAATAACACACCATAGCGATGCTTGTATGCACGTCTGATTAAAACAAGGTCAATCTATTGAAAAAATAAGATGAATCTTACATCCTTATTATTATGGTAATGACAGGTAACTAGAGGGTACGCTCGCTTATTAGAACGTTGCAATTAGTTTCGATAAGAACAAATATGTAGGACAATAAATGAAGGTAAGGTATAGTTACTAAATTTTAGAAATGCAGTGTGTCGATTATGTTGTATGATCGAAAGTTGAGAGGGCGCTATGTATATACTACAGTACTATTGAAATGTAAATCTATGTATAGTATGGATTAGGTATGTATTCCCTGGAACTCGTTAGAACAACCTGGGTGTGACGATTTTTCCCTTGTTAGTGACCACCAATCACACGTATACAACTGCGTAGGATAATATAATGTATTACAGAATATAAACCAAAATACTAATGTGCTTAATACAAAATATAATATCAAGTTGTTGCTGATTCGAATGCAAGGACTGGAGTGAGTTAAGAAAATACATAAATATGTGAGGAATACAGACGATAAACTGCATTCCTGTCTCATGACACAATTGTGGCATATGTTCAATTTGCTACTGACCACTACGACTCGGTATATGTTGTTGCATGGCAACTTACAGTACTTGGTATGTGTTGTTTAGTACACACCATATCATCATACATATATATATATATATATATATATATATTTAATTGTTTTATGTTTCTGAGGTAGTAAAAATGTTTAAAATTTGTTTAAGGGCCCCAATGGAAGTAAGTATTATATATTGTAAAACTTTCTAGGTTACCCTAGGAATTATTGGCTCATCTTTTGTTCTTCATCATTTATCTGTTCTTTTTATCTGTTTAGATGTGTATATATACATACATATATACATACATTATGTATGTGTATATATGTATGTATGTATATATATA